TGGAGGAGGACGTGTAATTTCTATTACATGCATTGTTTACAGATGAGATTCTATCTGGATCATCATAGCAACCTCACTGCTGAATTGGAGAGAAGAGAATGCATTTCATGTGTGACCTCACTCTGAAACTGTATCCCGCAAGGATTCGGTCAATAGGTGTCTGCAAATCATATTCCGAAGTAGGGCAAAGTAGGTCAGATCCGGAAGCAGGGCTCCCCCGCAGCCTGTGGAGTAGAGCAGGGCAGCAGATGTGATTCCCTGTGCTGTGCTGGCACTTGCAGCTGGAATGTGGATTCCAGATTCACCCTTTCCCTGCATTCTTGCTCATTCAATCGCTCGTCCCATACCTGCAGCTACATTTACAGCCTTTGGGCCTGACTCCCTGCTACTGTGCATCATGTGCAGTCATGGATACCTCGGCTGAAAACTGCTGCTCTTCTGATTCAGCAACATTATACACCTACTTTGCACAGGGGTAAATGGCTGTGCAGTGGAAGAGAGAATCAGGCCTTTCATCTCTGCACTGTGTCCTTGGTCCAAGCCCTGCAGGTGGCAAAGGCTGATTTCACTCTGTAAGTCACATTTTATAACAGCAGCAGCATTTGTTCCGTGGCTGGCCTTCTCCGTGGCTTCTGACTGCTGGCGTGCTAAGGTCTTCGCATAAGATACCAACCCAATTTTGTGTAGCTTTGGAAAACACGTTATCCCCTGCAAGGGATGTCCATAGTTTAAGTGATCTCTCGGGTTGCTAATGATTGCTTTGTGACCTGTATTGTGGAAAATTGATACATGTGGCTAGGATGTATTGCTCCATCTTCTTCGCCTCTCCACCTCTGACGTGGCTTCGGCAACTCTACCACTCCACTAACAGCGTGGACTAGCAACACGGCCTTCACTCCAATACATTTTGAGACAGCGGCAGTGACAATACTTGGCACTGAAATAGCACTTCACATGCGCAAAGCAATGCACAGACATTAATCAATTACAAACACCCCTGCGGGATAGGGAGAGTGAGCTAAAAGTGCCCAAAATCTGGACCAGACTAATCATGATCATTCACCATTTTGGCTGCTTATCTCAGATCCGTCAGATGGATCTGATGGGAGGATTTTGCCATTGGAGCCTGTACATTGTTCTCAAACAGAGCAGCTAGATTACAGCAAGGCTAAGATTAGCAGTTTAAGAGACCACATCTCAAGAGTGCAGTCTGAAGCAGAGCGTCCCTCTATATTTGTGGATAAGAACCGTAGCTGGCAATCCCACATTGGTTTCCTTTGTTCCTGGACATTCGAATGTACCCTTTGTCACCGAACTTTATGCCCCAACTGTTGGAAGGAGAAATAACACAGAATTAAACATGAAGAGAATAAAACACCTTTCTTTATAGGCAGGGTTCCCCTCCCCCATTTTCTCATGTGTTTCAAGCTGTTTAACAAAGTGCATCCAATTCACAGTAGTACAGACACATACATGCACAGCTCTACCCAGCTCACTCATGCCTATCTCAGGAGCACGTTAGTCCATAGATATATACGGCTCAGTGATGGATTTTCTTTTACCTGTTTTTCACAAGCCAAAAGTCCTTCCCATCCAGGGTGCCATAGCCGATAACTAGAACTGCATGATTCGTGTCACGAGTGCAACGTGGATCATCGTAGACTCCTGGAAGGAAAGAATGTGTAATCACGTGGGAGGAAAAAAAGCCAGCTCGGTAAAGCTGTTGTGAGCACCCACATGATACCAACATGCCTCTAACCTGGTCCCCTGTAAGGGGGTAATAATAACAATCTCTCACTCTTTTCACCAGTAGATCACAAAGCAGGTCAGTGTCATTATCTCCATTGTGCAGATGGGGACACTAAGGTACAGAGCGAGAAGTGACTTGCCCTGGGACTAGAACCCAGCTCTCCTAAGCCCCAGTCCAGCACGCTGTCCACTGGGAAGTTTAGTTTCCGTGGCCTTGGCGCTCCTACTGAGGCTGCCAGGTTGGCTAGTGTGAGGTGGGCACCTGCCCCCAAGAACTGGACTCAGACTCTCTACAGGCCACCAAACAGATGTCAGCTAGAGAAGGACGTCTGACTGGTACAGCTGAACTACCCCCCAGCAATGAAAAGCTCCATTTTCCCATCCGTCCCTTCAGCTATTTCAGTATCCCAATGCCCATAAATACCGGGAAGGAATCTTCCTCCCACTATGGTCCCCTCACAATGTTCCCTTAAAAGCCCCAAATCGAGTCAGGGGAGAATTCCCCCAGCACAGGAACCGAGTCACACAGCCACAAACTGTCTTAGGAGGCCTCGTTCGGGAAGCTCTGGCGTAGGGGACATTCCAGCCGGGGTTAGGGTCTATAGCAAGTCTGTGGGGTGTTGCTCCCATTAGGTAGCTTGACTTGGGCTGCCATATCTTATGCAACACCCAAGGCTGCCTAAATTATCCCACGAGCCGCCTCAACCCCAGAACTGGGCAGAGCTGACCTGAGCTGAGTCTGGTGCAGCATAAAATTGGCCCCACAATGTCTGACGGTGCCAGAGGTGCTGGAACTAGGGGTGCTGGGGACCCTGCCGCACCCCCTGGCTTGAAGTGGTTCCCATCATATACAGGGTTTACAGTTTGGATCAGTGGTTCTCAGCATCCCCACTGTACAAATTATTCCAGCACCTGTGGACGGTGCTCGCTAGGGCAAAGGTAAATACAAGCCAAAAACAAATTTTAAAAAGCCCAGGTTAATGTAAGCCACGCCGACTCGGTGGGGCGTTCTGTCTCCCTCTAGTGGTGCCTGGGCCACAGAACGGTTGATGAGCCTGCCACAGCCTTATCTAAAAGAGGTTGAGTCTTTTAGCTCCAGCAAGAAAGGCTCATGCGTTAAGATCCAGAAGCCCCAGTCCTTGCTGCCCACCCCAGCACACTGGCATTACATTAACATGAGTGAAGGGTCCACACTGGGTGCTATTTTAATGACACACACTAAGACACCAGGAATTGACCCTGGAGTCGTTAGCCCTTGAAGCACCTTTTGAGCTAAAGGAGCATCTCCGGTCATTTGTTGTTATCATTAATCTGTGTTACAGGAGCACCTGCCAGCCCCAGACATAGACCATGGTGCTAGGGGCTGTACAAACGCAGAACAAAAAGATAGTCCTTGCCCAAAGAGCTTCCAATCTAAGGGTATGTCCACACTGCACACTCCTTATGGAAGCATATAGACTATATACACTCCACACACACTCCAAACAGGTATAAACAAAGGTGTAAACGGCTT